TTATTTTCCAGGAATAAAGAGTATGTGAATGAAATTCCTGCTCCCAGATCTTTACTGATGCCTGATCCAAATGGACAGCACAGCTGGGAATTATCATGATTCTCTTTGCGTTTCTGCCATGCCCTGTACTATACATGGTGTTCCTATTTCTGTTTTGAAGTCAATAAAAAATGTTTTTAACCGCTATTTCCTTTATATTATTACAGGAGAGGAGAATCACTGTAATAAAAATCTCAGGCAATTTTCACCAGTGAAGACTGAGTCAATATTCACCACCTCTTCACCAGTGAAGACTACAGAAAACCAGAGTGTCATGGGGACACTATGTTTTTGGTGTATTTCCTCCTTCTGCTCACATTGGAGTAAGACGCAGTAACAGGCAAGGAAAAGGGATTAAAAATTCTCCCTTTGACGTTTAGGTACTTGACCAATAGTGGTTTGGCATAAAGAGCTTAAAGTCATTAGAGCTACAAAGGTACTCAGCTTCTTTCTGTCTCTCACATTTCAAGTATGCTCTGTGCATTTCTAGGCTATGGAAACCATTCTGTTTTACTACCAAGCAGACAACATACCCGAGCAGACAACAAGGCCCACTTTTATTTTTCCCCCCAAAGCTAAGCAGTGAGCATTTACCTGACAAGGCTCACCAGTAATCCATGGTGGGGATGTGCAGTGGTTCCTCAGTGAGAAACAACCAACCTTTACTCCCCTGTCCCAGGGGCACAAGGATAAGAGACGCGGGGCCTGGAAGAGCAGCGTCAGCCCATCGATCATGATGGCGAGGGCAGAGCAACGTGCATGCCCTTTCTCACAGCCATGCTTCTCTTTTCTCCCAGGGAGCACCTCTGTGTCCCAGTCAGGCAGATCTCTTGTAATTTACAGATCCTTCTGTCCTAGGTTTGACCCTTTCTTTGAATGGTTGCAAGATGAACATTAATTGCCCAAATGACTACAAGCTAAGAACATCAGATGAATTTAAGCAGTCAGCCATCCGACAGAGATTTTCATCAATATTCACAGTACTTAAGAGTGCAACAGAGCAGATATGCAAAGTGATACTGATCTTATTCTGGCAGTTGAGCACACACACTTTCAAGGAAGAGCGGATTCGTCACACCAGCCATGCTTTCTGTTGCAGGGTAAGGATGTACATGCTGATATATGGCATAACCTTTGTAATGGTGCAAACAGTTGCTAAATATAATTTTGTATGGGAAGTTGAAAGACTATAATGCCATTTGCTTACCTTGTTGATTGGAGATAAAATTTAAAGAACAAAATATTTTCAAAGCTGGTCCAGAATACTGGTATTTTTGCTTGTTGACTGTCATTTTGAAGGAATGTATTTTGCATGTAAGACTTGCTCAGTAAAAGAATAAAAAAAAAAAAAAAAAGAGAGAAAGAGAGAACAAGAGAGAGATGCATAAAACAAGGGCAAAGGCTTTACTATTGCATAATATTCTTTTAACCCTCAGACTTGGAGGTATCTTCTTCAAAGAAGTCAGTCTTCTTGTACATGCCACAGCTGAACACATCTCATTAAGTATCTGTTGTTTTGCAAGTCATCAGAAAGAGTAATCAGGAGAGTGGTAGTTGGTGGGGGTCTTTTTTCCCCCACATTTTAAAAAAAATATTTAAATTCCTTTTGCATTTGAATTGCTTTATATTTGGACCCAGCTGCAAAGGCAACACCATTTCTGTTAAGAAAGAAGCACCGTTTTCCAGATTCTTTAATGTTGCTTGGGTGGGTTGCTCAAAGATGTAACACATTTAGTGATGTTCTCAAGTGAGCCTTCAGCAGATCTGAACCTTTTAAGGGTTCACCCTCATCTAGTTAAAAATTAGTGTTTGAATATCTATCAGTATGCAAAACATTCATTTGCTACTAGAGTTAGAGTTCCTTATTACACCAGGAAGAATTTGAGTTTTAATTAGCATTTCCTCTGGTGTACTAAACCCACTGAGATTACTACACTTAGTAAAATTTAATTAACTTGACAAAAGATCCTAATTGTTTTCATGCCACTAGTCCTTAGTGGGACTAAAAATAATACCCTTCCAATTAAGTGTCTACAACCAACCTGCCTTTTGGTTGCCCTATATACATAAAATTGGTTGGCCTACATATTGTAGTTGGTAGAAAGTCTTGCCAACCATGGAATCAAGGTTATTTGCTTAAAGATGGAATACTTTTATTGCAGTGGATAAAGATAAAAGCTTATTAGTCAAGAAGCCTCAGCTAACATTAATTATTCCCACCATCTTATTAAGTTTTGCAAATAGGAGGTTTATTGATTTATGTAGGTGCACAGAATAATCAACAAGATTCATTTAAATCAATTTAATAATATAATATTGGCATGAAGAAAGAAAGATAAATGTATCAATAAGGTAACTATGAGAAACAATATATGTCTATATCAGGTGTAGCATGCCTAGGAGAAATTTGGAATTAAAATGAAAATACTTGCAGTCCAAGACTCTTCTTGCAGCTTTACTTCTTTTTCAAATAGAGCTGCTCACATGGTACCAAGACATAATACACTTTGAGACACTCACAGAATCATAGAACATCCCAGAGTTGGAAGGAAACAATAAGGATCATCGAGTCCAACTCCTGGCACCACATAGGTCTACCCAAAAATTCAGACCACGTGACTAAGTGCACAGTCCAAATGCTTTTAAAATTCCAACAGGCTTGGTGCTGTGACTGCTTCCCTGGGGAGCCTGTTCCAGTGCACAACAACCCTCTCAGTTCTCCAGCAACAGATCTAGGAGGGCACCTTTCCTAGTTGGCACCCTCAGCAACTGCAACAAGAAGTTATCATCAAGATGCTTTAGGAACTTCCTGGATCTGCTCATGTTGGCCATGTGGTAATCCCAGTTGACATCTGGCAAGTTGAAGTCCCCCATAAGGACAAGGACAGTTAATCTCAAGGTATCAACATTTGTCACAGTTTCCCATAGAATTCTACTGGACAATATGTCTGGCATACAGCTAAACAAAAACATCATACCATGGGTGAGCAATTGCCTAACAGGCAGGGCTCAAGGAGTTGTGGTAAATGGGGCCACATCAAGATGGCGGACAGTCACTACTGGGGTCCTCGAAGGCTCCATTTTAGGGCCCACCCTCTTCAATGTTTTTATAAACGATTTGGATGTAGGACTAGGAGGTGTTTTCAGCAAATTTGCTGATGACTGTGAACTTGGAGGAGTTGCTGACTCTGAGGGTGGAAAGGCTTTGACTTTTGAAGGTGGATGCCCTTGACTTGGGCCTCCGTCCAAAGACCTGGACAGCAAAATTCACCAAGACCTCTGGCTGAGTAGCCACACTGGTGACTGTAGCTGGAGAGGTCGCAAGAGATGTGGAAGTCATGTTTTTCTGCCTGGCGGACACTATGGCCGGGCTTTTCTACGAGCAGCTCACAACCACCGTTGGGGAAGAGCGGCGAGGGGCCCTCCCGGCTCGCTCTGCCCGCGCAAATTGCTGCGCCCCTCCCTGTCCGCCCGCCCTGCTCGCACGCGCTCGTGGTCGCTCGCGCTCCCTAGGGGCTGCCTTTGAACGGCCGGCGGAGCGGGCGCTGCTGGCTCCCCCCGCGTCTCGTCAGCCTCCCTCAGGAACTGCCGGGGCCTAGGCGGCTTCCTCGAGCGGCCTCGGTGAGAGAAAAAAAAGCCCTGCCCGCCTCCATCCCCCGCTCTGCTGCACAACGCGTCTGCCCCGGAGCCGATCGCCTCGGCGAGTACTTTTTCTCATCTTGAAAGAAATGAGAGTGTGGAAAGCACGAGAAAGCAGACAGTTTGAAGAGTACAGGGGACAGATTTCAGCCCACGAGGTTCGTTACTGGCAGTACTACACAAGTACTGGAGTCCAGAGGATCCTTTGGCTCTGGAAGCCTGAGTAAGAGATTTTAAGGAGAAGAGATTAAAGAAAAATATCTTAGATATTCTGTGAAGATTAGGGTTTCGTCGTGCATCTTTGCATTATAGTTATCAGATAAATTAGTCTAATTTTAATCTCCAAAATATAAGGAATAGATCAGTTTACAATAATATGAAATCGAATCAATCACCTGTTATTCCTATATTGAGCTTTGTTGAGAATGAATATCCCTGATGTGCTCAGAAATTACTAGTAATCCAAATACAGTTTTGGCAACGTAATCCCTTGTGTAGATGTTCTTTTTTGAAGAAAGGGTGTCTTTGGAAAGGTTGAAACTCCATTCCTTCCATAAAACAATGCCATTCAGACTAAGGTTTTACTATAGAGAATGCAAGAGAATATTAGCTATGCATTAATATTAAGACCTTGTATTACTGGGAGGGGGGGAAAAAGACTGTAAATCAGTCTGCATCTAAAGTCTTCAGCTTCTTTTTCTGCCTAAACATCTGTCTGCTTTATAACATTTGAATACTAAGAAGATTATCTTGGCTGATGATCCAGCCATAGTGCTGTTAAACACCTCTTTTCTGCTTTTCTTGCCAAGTTCCTCCTTTGTTTCTTTCCCTCTCAATTTAGAACACAAGTTGCTCTTACAGGCTTCAGCCTTTCATCAGAAATTATTAATGCCAGCTCAAGATACCCATCTATTCCAGTTATTAAAATTTTCTGAATGTAAATAAACACAAAATATTTTTAAAGAGCATTGGTAGGTTTTGGCCTAATAAATAAATTTATGATAAAGCTTTCACTCAAAAACACAATGTGTAAATGTGTGTCTGATTTATAGAAACATAGAATAATTTAGACAGGCTCCCATTATTTTTTCTCTGCAGATGTAAAATAGCTAAATGTGAAGAATCATCAAAGTTTTAAATCTATTACATAGAAGTCAAAGAAAGCTGGGTTAAAAGGGATACTACAGTAATAGTCCACAAAAGAATCATTACAGAAGACTTCATGCAGTTGGGAGAAATTATCGGATGTTAATTACAATGGTGTTCCTCAAAAAAAAAAAAATTATAATTGATGCATTCTTTGTTTTAATATGCAGGGTTTGCCATTTGAAGACTTTCATATGGAATGGGAATGTTGCTTGATATATGCCAGTAACTCCAGTGAGAAGCACAATATTAAAGGTATATTAAGTTGAACATAACTGTCAACACAGCATATTTGTTAAGAAAGTGGTATCACAAAGAATTGTGTTGGATAATAAAGGACAGAAAAATTCTATATGTGTATGTACACGTGTGAGGTATATATGCATATTTACATAAGGAATTGTGATCATGGAAAAAGACAGGTCTTCCTTGGACCTTTACTTCCTATAATAGTTGATACTTCTTAGCCTTAAACAAGCCTTCCCATTGTAATCAAAATGTTATGATAAAAATTCACAATTATAGGAAAATGGAAATAACTGTTCATCTTTGTTCCTGTTGATAATGCATTTAGAATATTAAGTCTTAAGTAAACTGTGGCACCCCTTCCCACCTCTGCCTTTGATTTTGTTTTGCTTGTATGGCTAATGAATCATTGGAAACATTAGTTAAAACATAGGAACTTTATCTCTCTGATTTAAGAAGCTGTGAATAGCAGCTTGGAATACTATAGTATGCTTATCATCACTTACTAGAATGCATTGGCTTCTAAAAAGACTATTTTCAGCAGTTTTTCATGACCTGACCCTACTGTTCACCTCAAGTATTAGGTACTTAATATCTGTAATGAAAAAGAGGGTATTTTATAAAACAATTAATTATGATACAGTTTTCTGATCCAGCATTTTCACACACCTTTGGAGTTTTACATTATATCATAACAATTTATGCATTTAGAAAATTAAAGCATAATTGAAAATTATAGTGTGTAAAAGCGGTTCTGATTAACATAATGTACAGGCATGTAATAGGAACGTTAAAGACATAAGAAAGAAGAGAAAGTATTTTAAGCCTCTGAAGTTTAACGTGTCTCTATCCAGAACGCTAACCATCAATAATCCAGTAATTTGTGGGAATGCTGAAAATGTTTACAAAATTGTCTCCTCATTATCTTCCACAGAGAACACTGATCATTTCATTTGGATCTAGTCTTGTTCTAATAGTCTATCTTTAATTATGTAGACACATTTATTTTTAAATGGTGTATTTTTTATATATTTTTTAAATTACTTGAAAATTTTAAATGAAAAATTGGTCCTTAAAGTAAAAACTAGTAGATTCAGAATGGTCTTTATGAAATTAATCCTTTGAAAAGTGAATGCATGCTCAATTTTAAATGAGTCTGATATTCTTAAGTATACTACAGTTTCTACTTTTTTGTGGCAAATTTAATATTTGACTTGGTCTGACTCAAACAAAAGGATAATTTATCATGGAGTAAGTTATCACTTTATCCTTTTTTGTTTGTTTGTTTGTTTTCATGAGGGATATGTCTAGTACAGTTCCACTAAATAATGCAGAAGAGAACATTGCTAGAAAAATCTGAGGTATTGGTTTGGTTTGGATTTTATGGAGGTAAACAGAAATATTGGTGGGATGAATCTCTGATATTTGTCCATGAAAGACTTTGTATAAGATATTCATAACCACTTTTAAATGTCAGTATCATAAATATTCATCTCCTGTTCCTTCAAATAAAAGCATTTTCAAGAAAAACCTTGAGAGGGTGAGGCCTTAGCAAGAGTTAACACGTCTCTCAAGCTATTCTGAGCTATGTAACTTTAAAAAAAAAGACTAAATATGGAACTAATACTAAAAAATATGGACTAATACTAAAAAAAGAGTAAATATGAAACTTTTATGTTCCCATGAAGAGCAAACTGGGCCTACTCTCCTTGTTACAATATTGTTATGTTTACCATGCTGTCTATCTTTCTATATGAAAAACAGACTTCTCCAGTGGAATGCTGAAGTTAGAAGATAAGCTCACCATAGTAAGAAAAACACAGATAATGCTCCACTTTACTTGTCACGATTTAAGCTGATCCTACCATTTGCTGTTCCTTAAAAGATACTGACTTCACAACGAGTTCTTGTTGATGCCAGATGGGTAGATCTTTCCCCATAGAAAAGCAGGCACTGGAACTTCTGCCAAAATAATGTCTGGAATGCTGGAAAAGGGGAGCCCTACAGTAACTGGGTATGAAAACGATCAGGCACTGCAGGGCTGTAGGACATGGAGAACTCACTCAGAACTGCAAAACTACTTCTTGGCTATGAAGAAAGACTGTTAAAATTATTTTATAAACAGATCAAATTTTGTGGAGGGAATTGTAATTTGAATCAAAATAGAAGATAGCGTGCTATGTTCAAAGCAATGATGAGCTTAGCTGAGGAAGCCTGAGTTTATGGCTTTCTTTTCCTCATCATCAGAGATCCCAGAAGGTCCTGGGATGTTGTGATGTCTCAGTTCAAACTCTGGTGTTTTGTTTCCTGGGTTCACTTAGTGACAGATCAAGGAAGTGTGAACAAGAAAATTAATGGTACTTACGGAAGCAACTAGTTTATACATTTGATATCTCACATCTAAATTCATAATTCTAAGTGAAACTAGCCTTTCAGAACAGTTGCCTAGAACATTTATGTAGGGCATAGACTTCATGCTGGCCTGCAGAGAAGAAAATTCTTACATTCAGTAGTGTTTCTTTGTTTGGCTTATGTAGATCACGTAGCTAAATGCTTTGTATTTTTAGCTGATGAGAAAATACTTTCTCAGTACAATGTGGGTTAGAAAAATCTATTCTATCAGGAAAAAAGGGTTATGATGACCCATTAAGGAAACTGCTTAAACCCAGCAGTTTCATTTAAATATGTCTTGTTTCTTTAGTTTGTTAATCCCAAACAAGCCCTAGACATTTCTGAACTATGCAACTAATCCTGAGAAAGCTCACGCATGCAAATTGTTGCTTAGAATGGGAATAAAAGATTATGCTGTCAGGTTTTATATCTCGGACATGTAGGACTTCACTTTTTAAATTATAGAAATGTCACTACTCTTCTGCAGTAATGAAGCATACTTTAACCTTGCATAAGTACTGCTTTACTATCATTAAGGTAAATAGAATGAATAATAATAGTGTTATTTGGCCTGGATAAGATGGAAGGCAGGATCTGTAGAAAATGCAGTGCATAAAAACTGAAATTGGCTTGCTTGTTTAAAAACTCTTCAAATGTGTTAGCATCCCAAATGCCATGAAGATCTCATGGGATTTTTTTTAAAAGGTATGAGTCTAAATCTTTCTCCAGCACGTTGCACATTCAGATGAGTAGAGGCTGCCTACTGATGGAAGAGAGCAGGATTGATTTGCTGCTAGAGGTTTCTTTCTCCATTTCTTCTTGCTCTCTATATATAGGTCTCCCAGCCACAAGCTACCAGACGTGGTGGGTACTTACATTCCTTAGGGGAAGAGGAGGAGAGAGTGAGATCATAGGCCTAGATGATATGGTTATAGTAAATTATTCATTATAGTGGTATATATATATATATATATATATATATGGAATCTGCCTTAAGTGGTACTTCAGCATCATGAAACATGGCAAGTTGTTTCCCTGTTTCTAATAGTCAAATAGACAAAAAGCTTGAGACATCTTGTTTCTTTATTTCACCTTTTTTGTGTTTATGCCCCTTTTTTAACTTCATGAACGTGCACCTTATATGAAACAAAAGCAATGTTTTCATATGACAAAGCAATGAAGATGGCATTTACAGCAGGACAGAACTACTTGTCCAAACCCTATGTAAAAAGCATCTTGCATGACATTACCCCTCTCATATAGATTTAAAATATGTATTTCAAAACTTTCCCAGGATCCTAACCCATAAATATTTAATTCTGAGTATTATCATCAATCAGATTAGACAATCTATGAAAGATATTGGTGGTAAAAGCTTCTTGTGCATTTTGCTCTAGACCTCCAAAAGCACTCCAGGTTCACAGAGAGCTTCTAAGGAGCTGATGGCAGAGGGGGGTCGCTGATTAATGGCTCCCTGGGACGCTCTGACACCTCTGCCTGGATCAGAGAGATAAGAGACAGCCAGAGTCTGCCAGAGAGCTGTGCTTTATACAAGTGAGGCAAAGGTTAGCAACACTGACGAATTCCTTCAAGAAACGTGAGATACACAGCTTCCTCTGGGGCAGGATAATGGCCTGCAAAGAGGAGTAATAGAGTGAAGGATCATTTTGTAGTACTCAAGAAAAAAAACAAGAGACAAGACAGAAGATGTTAAAGGGTTAGAATACAAGCAAGAATAAGAATTAATAGCGAAATGAACCTTAAGTTATGTCAAGCTTCTTCTTTTTTTTTCCTTTTTTTTTTCTTTTTTAGTATAGTTTAATTTATCATCTGTAACCGAGAGCTTTTGTCAAGAGGGTCTTGTTTATTCATTCTTTCACATCGTACTTTGCCATGCTAAACAAAGTGCATTTCTCCGTGGTAGGAGGACTAACACCAATAAACCTAACAGTACTGTCCATACTTAGTTAAAATAATGTTCACACTATAGTAGTGCAAGGAAAATTCAGACGGATTGGCTAAAGGGATATTTGGTTATTTGTGATAATTGGTACAAAACATATATGGTAGAAAGGCAGTTTCCATAGCCCAAGAATATTGCTAGTAGTTCTTATGTGTAAAATACAGTGGGACACAGGAACTTGTAATGGTCAGTAATCTACTTACCCTTTTGCAAGTGTCCAAAATCACATGCTTCACAAGAAAATGGAAAAAAATATTACAGGTTAATTTTATTTCTCCGCAGTCTGTGCTTGAATTCATGGTACAAAACAAATAAATAAGCAGTCTTCTTATAGTCAGTTTCCACTTGAAGTTATTGGAATATTTTTACTTGAGTAAAATGTCATCACACAGGTTGCATTCCTGACCAAGCAGAGAGCCTTGTTATTTACAGATCTAACTATTGGTAAATGCCGTGCATAGAAATAAAGGTGGCTTTAAACTTTGCAAATGTCGTTTGGAAAAAAAAAAAAGGCATAAGACAGCCTTGGGAGAATTCTGTAAACAGGGTTTGATCCAGAGAACCTGGGAATCATTGGAGGGAAAAAAAAAATAAATTGGCTTTAATGAGCTTTAACTTCGTTTTCAAAGTAGTAAATTTTAACACATTTGGGATT